TTTAAAGTTGTCCTGGAAGTTCCTAAGCCTCTCCTCATTTTTTTTGAATTCTTGTTTCTTCATTCTGTTCTGGTCGAATGTTTCTTTCTTCCTTCTGTTCCAAATCCTTGATTTGAGTCCCATTTCCTTCCCTTCCCTGTTGATTCCTTCTATATTTTCCTTTATTTCACTTTTCATAGGCTTCACTTTTTCCTCTATTTTGCAACCATACTCAATTCTATGAGCATCCTAATTACCAGTGTTTTGAACTGTGCCTCTGATAGGTTGGCTATCTCTTCATTACTTAGTTGTATTTTTTCTGGAGCTTTGATCTGTTCTTTCATTTGGGCTAATTTTTTTTTTTTTTTTTTTTTTGTCTCAGCATGCCTGTTATGTAGTAAGGGGCAGAGCCTAAGCTGTTCGCCAGGGTGGGGCAACCCACAGCACTGCATTGTAGGGGGAGGGGTCTGAGAGGGAACAATGCCTCTTGATCAGCTCTCTCCTGGCTTTCAGTCACTTCCACTGCTACCCACAAGCAAATTGGGCCCTTCTGGTGCTGATTCCTGGGTGGGTGGTTTTGTGTATGTTCTAGGATCCCGCAGATCTCTCCAACAAACTCTCCTGTGAGACTGGGAGTTTCTCCTGACACCTCAACCCCCACAGATGTTTTCAGTCAGAGGTTTGAGGCTTTATTTCCACACACTGGAAGCCTGGGTTGTAAGGTCTGTCTTGATCCCCAGTTGTTCCTCCCAGTTTATAAGCATGCAAATGTGAGACCACCCACTCCTCCAGCCACTGCCTTGCCGCAAGTCCTCTCCACCCTGGCTGCCCATCTCCACCCCTCCTACCAGTCTAGATGAATGTTTCTTCTTTAATGCTTTAGTTGTCAGACTTCCATAGAGTTCGATTTGCTGGTAGTTCTGGTTGTTTTGTTTTTAAATTTGTTGTTGTCCTTCTTTTGGTTATGTGAGAAGGCATAGTGTATCTACCTATGCCTCCATCTTGGCCATAAGTCCAACAATCCTCATTCTTGAGGCAAGTGGATGCCTCTCCCTGCTAGGGGAAAGATCAGGAAGTATAAAAAAAGAAGAGCCCATTCCTTGCTGGATGGCTCAGTTGGTTGGAGTATCATCCTATACACCAGAGCGTTGAAGGTTTAATCCCTGGTCAGGGCACATAGCTAGCTTGCAGGTTCAACCCCTGTTTGGGGCACACAGGAGGCAACTGTTCAATGTTTCTCTTTCACATCAATGTTTCTCTCTCTCTCCCCCCACCTCCCCGCTTCATCTCTAAAATCAATAAACATGTCCTTGGGTGAGAATTTTTTAAAAGAAGCCCAAAGAATAATATTTCAAGAGCTTCTCTGTGCCCATTTCTTTATTTTGCTAAAATCTGGTCAGTCTGCTATATTATGGTTTTTTCTCTGAGTCACTGAACAATAAAGTCAAGCAAGCTCTAGACCTGGTTCTGTGACCTGAGAATATCAATTCATTTGTCCTAAAACAGTCTGCTTTGCAAATGTCCAGTGCCTTCTCATGTCCCCATGTTAATGACTCCTGACTGAAAGACAGAAATATAAAATTCTAATAGGAGCTCACGTCCAGGCTAGAAGACACTGATTCTTGAGAAATAGTGATTAAAGGTTAAGCTTGATCCTCATAGTGTCTATAAAAATAAATGTTTTCCCTCTCACATCAATGTTTCCCTTTCTCTCTCTCTTTCTCTAAAATCAATAAGCATGTTCTCTAAAAATGAAAAGAGTAAATAAGTACATTGATAGGCCAATCAGCATTTATTTAGCACCTACTCTGTACACTGTGCAAGAGATGACACAGAGGCTTCTATGCTGTGCTGACTCACAATCCAACAGGCAAGATAGATAGAGCAAAAATAAAACAAGCACAAAGTGAGCCATAGCAAGAACAGTGGTTGTTCAGACAGTGTTTCAGGCATACAGGAAAGGGAGAAATTAATTTTGACCAGGATCCATAAGTCTCTTGGAGAACATGATATTTCAGCTGGACCCTGCTGTAGGTAAAAATGATAAAGAAGGGCATTCTGGGCTATAGGGATCATTTGAGGAAGAGCATGGAGTTAGAAAAAAGCTTAGTATAAATTTGTGGTATTATGATCTAACCAGTGTAACTGTGGTATGGGTTTGGGGGTAAAAGTATAGAACTTGCTAGAGAGATAAGTTGGAAGCATGTTGTAGAAAAGAAACCAAAGGAGCTTTGCCTTTCATCTCCATGAAGTAGAGAAAGACTGAAGGTCTTTGAGTAGAGAGATACCCAAAGCAGATCTGTTTTTATGAAAAGAGAATCTTGGTGAGGAATAGATAGTAAAAGGCAAGAACAAAGCAAGACCTGGAGAAGGTGCTGGGAATCTGAACTAAAGCCAGAGGAGTGGGAGTAGCATGGAGGGGATGAGGACAAGGGGCATTTGAGGGGCTGCATTCGTTTGAGAATGGCTGACAAAAAGTAGCAAAGAAAGCTGAGGTGAGCTGAGAGGTCTCACCCAGGCCAGGTTGCTACCTGAGGCAGACCGTGGTCTCAGAGGAAGAGACTGGCTAGAGGCCCTAAGACCAGGTGGTGAGGGACACCTCTCAACCATCCCAAGAAGACTTTTCTCCTTCCTAGAATGTCCAGAGCGGGAGCAGCTGACCATCTGCTTTGCCTGTGAAATATCACAGCCACTGAATCCAGACATGGGTCTCAGCCCAGCAACTTCAGAAATACTGAAGGTCTTTTAAAACAGTTTTCAGGCACTTTGCCAGGTGAATCTGATCTGGGAACCCAACATGTATCTGAGGTGGGGCCCAGGCATCCATGTTTTATAAAGCTCCCACGTGATTCTGATGCACAGCTGGATTTGGGAACTACTGTGGGACCTTACTATTGTGCTGGGAAATGTACAGAAAACACCGAGTCAACACACAGAGCCAGTGAACACTACGATGGCTCAAAGACCTTAGGTTTTGGTCTACAACAGTGTCTCAAGCACCATGACCTTGACTGGGTGTCTTAGCTTACCCTTCATCTTCAATTCTAATCCTCAGCAAATACATCAGGAGATAGAAGAGGCTGCATGCTTGACAAGTTCCCCTGAACTTTTCAGAAGGACATTGTGCATATAAGCCATTCCTTTTGCTCTTGTCCTCAGTTGAAATGGGAAGAGAGCTTGGCTGCATCACAGAGACATCATGAGAGAGTCTTATTATAGGGTGCTTTCAGTCTTTAGAAAACAGGCTTCATAAAAATACTACCCATTTTCTGCCAGGCCTGTACAACACCTATAGAAATATCATTGCTATTATTGTTTTTATTTCTCAGAAAAATCATATAGTTCAAAGTTAAGGCAGATGTTAAAAACATCCCTTTTACACACTGTGATTTGGTGACTTGTGCAAGGTCAGACAACCAGAGCAGGTCCTGAGTCCGCCATTCTCCAGAGTGCCAGCCCTGCTCTGTGCCATAATGGAGAAGGCCAACATAGGGGCATTTTCCTCTCCTTGTAAAAGAGAAAAAAACAGAGTGTGGGGATTATTTAAGCACACCTCACTCACACTGCAATCACTGCATTGTTTTTCCCGTTGAAACACCCTGTTGGTTTTTAAATCCCTTTAAACCTACCCAGCACCTGTATGGCCTGGATCCAAGAATTATTACCGATCCTCTTGCTTTTTTATATCTAGCCACACAGGAGTTTCTGTGATGGTATCTGGCTCTTGGTTCAGCTGAAAATTTCAAAACTTACAGAGGTTTTCTTCTCCTGTAGACCTGGAAGCATGCAATGCTCAGACCTGAATTTTTTTTTAATTAGGCTGAGATGTTTCCCCCGTTTAGTTCCCCTGCTACATAAAATAGTAGTGTGGCATAACCTAGATTGTTTCTCTGTAAAGATACTTCTGAAATATTGACCAGAAGAGAGGGCAGGGGACAGATGTGGAAGTGGGGTTCTCTTCTGGCAGCTTATGGTATGTGAGATGACCTGTCTCTGGGGCAAGACTGAGGCTGAAAACATAATGAGAACTTCCCAGCAAATTCATTATAACGAAACATAATGTGAGCTCACTGGGCACAAAAACAGACCGAAGGAAAGTGACTCCTACATAAGACCTAATTAAATACTTTGATGTTGGAAAGCAGAGCAGGGAGGGGTGGAAAATCAAATCAGACCAAAGTAAAGGACCTAAATTTAAATGGAAAGAAGTGTCTCTCTCTCTTTTAACCTTTCTCTCTCTTTCTTTCTTCCCCTGGCCCTCCCACTTTCCCTTTCTCTCCCCCCGCCCCACCCCGTCCCTGTCTCTCTCTCTCTCTGGCTCTCCTTTTCTTCCTTTGCCATGAAGGAAGAATAAGATTCAGGAACAATGGGCTGTAAATTCTTCAGCCAATTAGTCCAGTGACTTACTACTGTTTATAACGCACAGAATGTCACAGGCTGTTTTGCGGCCTCCCCAAGTTGGTTTGTTAATAACAGGAAGCTAGCACTTCTCAGTACAGTGGATCAGCTACACGTGAAAATAAATGCAAAAAACCTGGAGAGGAATAGAAGCAGACCGAGAGTAGCCTTGATTTAATTTAACGTTTGGGGGTCCACACACAAATGAGCATTTTAGTAGGCTTCATGGTGGAAGTTGCTGTCATTTGTAAAATATTCTGGCCAATTAGCTAATAGTGTGCTTGGATTTCTCCTGTTTTGATACAGTAATACTAAGTACATTGTGAAGCCCAATTATACAAATCATCCCCATATGCCATACCAGTCTTTCTTTATGAACTGTGTTTATAAATCCTGTGTGAGGAAATGTGTACTTCAGCAATTTAGACCATGTGTAAAAACATAGCCAATGGGATTGTCAAGAAAACAAGTTCCAGCCTAGGAAGTCCTAATGTGTTCCGCTGGAATAACAGGAGGGTGCCGGGAGTGCGGTGCTCTGCTTATGTGCATATCACTTTGTAGTGTTTAACCGGTTTAGGGGCTTCCACTTCCCTTTCTGTTATTTTATTCTTCTTTTCTTTTAGGATCCAACCTTGGAGTTTTTGAGAAAATTTGGGATTGGTCTTCTCTCAGGCACAATAGCCTCAGTCATTAACATCCCTTTTGATGTTGCCAAAAGTAGGATTCAAGGGCCTCAGCCAGTTCCTGGAGAGATCAAGTACAGAACCTGTTTTAAAACGATGGCAACAGTCTATCAGGAAGAAGGGTAACACATTCTTATTTTAATAAATGAGCAAAACTTCAAGGATTGTTCACATCTTACTGTACTTCCGTTTTGATGACAGCCATTAAGACCTCTTAAATTGGGTGTGTGTCTGAGAAGCTCTTGGGAATAGGTGACAAACTTCGAGAGACAATGTAATAATGACCTGTTGACAAGACGTTCTTGCACCATCAAGAACCACGAACTACCACCACACAATATGCTGCATGTCTGTCTTAAAATGCTGAGGTGCACTTTTGACTTGCTAGCTTGCACAATATGCTGTTGCACATCATATGTCCTGTTAAGACACACGGGAAGGAGAATCATTGCCTTCTGAGTGTGAATGTACTTAAAATGTCACTTAATTATCCTAACTATATTCTCTTGGGAGAATTAAACATGAAAATTCTATGAAGGTAGTTTTCTTTTAAAAATTTAAGGTATGTATAAATATTATTTACATTAAAAAATACCAAAAAAAATTAAAGTATGTGCCTTTTTCTGCTGGTCTTTTTTTAAGTATTAACTTTTGTCTCTTCATCCCTCCTCACCTAAGTCTTATTCTCAAGTAAACAAGTAGTGTTTTATTATTTTGATCTAAACTGAATCATACTTCCTTATGTGAAGACTCAGTTGGTGGCCTTTTAAATTCAATGACAAAAATCACTATGTGCCTATACATAGCTGTCTCGAAAGTAAGACGTGTCTTGAAAGCAAAAGCCATCATGCTGATGGAAATCACACTTCTGATTGGACAAGACCAGCATAGCTTGGGTCATGAAGAATTAATGAGGTCTTTCCCCTTGTCCAATTTGTTGCAGAGACTGTTTACCCAGATACTGTCTGGTTTAGAATGTGTATAACCTCAAACAATTTTTTTAAATGCTGGGTCAGCACCTCAGTAAAGCTGAGGTACAACTCCATTTTGACTTCAGAATAAGAATGTTGCTCTTTTCCTTTCACTTACAGGATTCTAGCTTTGTACAAAGGCCTGCTTCCCAAGATTATGAGGCTTGGACCAGGTAATGGTGTTTTTATTACTTAGACCCTTCCTTCTTTATTGTTCTAGTGTCTCTTTTTTCCTTATGGATGTCTATCAGCAACACAATAAAAGTTTCTCCCGCTGTGAAAGACAGAAACATTGAGGATATAAAGTTGCCTGTGAGTATTCAAGCTACTGAAGTCGTATCCATTAGAAATGTTCTACCTATATTTATAAGGTACTATTTGTGATCTTGCTGGAGGCTGATAGAAGCCAAAGGCCAGCTTGAGTCAATAGGAAAGGATCCACAGCCAGTTGGAGTTGGAGTGAGCACTCAGGTATATACATGGTGGCATCTGGCTGGATGGGAGGATTTCCAGTGTGTCAGGGACCAGCCCAATAAAACTTTTCTTGGTGCTTCTAGTTTATTCTTACTCCTGCCTCAACTCCATTTCAGAAAGAGAAAAGGAGGGCAACTTTGCCTCCAGGAACAGCAAGAGCCACTTGTCTGCACAGTCACCTCCAGGGAATGGTGGAGCTTGGCGCTCATTTTCTCAGCCTCTGTCAGCATGCTGGTGGAGGCTCCTGGCTCAGGGCCTTACCTCAGGACGCCAGCCCACAAAAAAAAACGGCTGCCATTCCCTGAGGGAGAGTCAGCTGCCTCAATGTAAATAGATAAGAAAATAGCTGCTACAGACTCAACCGCCTGGGCAAATAGTCTTGGATTATAAACAATGCTGTGAATAAGTACGGAAGTATACACTAGACCACACATTTTTTTAGCAGGCCACACTCACCTACTTAGACATCCTGGTAATCTTCCCTAGGATCTTCCCCTACTCCTCTCTCTCCCTTTCCCATTCTTAGGTAACACTCATATCCTCCTCCCCTACCACCCTCCTGTGCATGCACACTTACCCTTAGATCTCAAACCAGTGAACCAGCATTTCTACCAACCTGAGATATAGAATAGTCTGTATGTTGAAGCTGGTAAACAGTTCATGCTTTCTTTTATTTAGAAAACACTTGCTCAATTCCCAAACCATCTGTCCCAACTTTTCTAGGCATTTGAGCATAGATTTTGCTTCACATTTGAGATTCAGACATGCCTCTGTTAGTCACTGGCCCATGTGTATAAAAGAGTACAATAATGAGAATATTGGTGATTTTTTGCAACTGTCTCTGGAAGTATGTGGTGTTTTTCCTTCACCACACAATAAAAACCTGCTAGTTGACCTAGCATTAGGGAAAATCAGAGGACTGGCTCTAACCCATCTTTCTCAGGAGGTGATGAGTCTGAAAAGGGTGAAGACCCTGGAGAGTTTAACTACAGTGGTCATTGACTAGAAACTTAATCCAAAACTCTTTAAATGATCTGACCCCAAGTTTTGTTAGAGGCTTGCAAATGTTTGGTTGGCTCTTTAAAATGTTTTTGCATGAGGTGTCCTGAGTTGCTGTGGTGTTATATCCAATACAAAGGGCTGTTGTGAATGTACTGTCCAAAATAAACAACACTGAATAACTGGGAATCTCATTCAAAGACCTGGCCTCCACTCTCAATCCAAACATCCAAGTCTGACCCAAAGGAAAGAAAGGTAGATAGAAAGGTAAGACTTTTGAGTTAAGGATAAGATTTAAAAGAGAGAGAGAAAGTGAAAAAAAAAAAGAAAGAAAAATGAACTTGTCCTTTCCATCCTTCACTCTGGAGAAGCATCTCATCTTGCTTTTGTAACAGCCTTAGTAGCTCTGTGAAGTTACTGATAGGTACCTCCTGTGAAAGGAGAATCTCAAAGTCTGTGGTTCAGAGTTTCAATATCAGTAGGCTGAAAACTATCCCAATTCTGTGTGTTCTTGTCTTATGGAGTGAATAGTTACTGAGAGCAACCACAGCAGTTACATACATCTTAACAATCCTCTGCCGTGTGTCCCTCCTGGCTTGCCACCATGCCAAGGGGGCTATGGCAGTGAGACGGATGTAATAGAGCATCTTCTTGGGTTAAAAATGAAAATTACGGGCAGATCATTATCTTCGGTATATGGTTACACAAACATGTGCAGCCTGTATATTTTTTTAAAGCATATGTCAGTGTGTACAAAATAACTAAAACCAAGATCAACTTCTATTTCTTTCCATCAGAAGTCAGTCCTCTGTTCATGCAGCCAAGTCTTCTCTATTGTGCTGAGGATATTTATCCACATTTTGACTCTGTAATATTTTTCAAACAGACAAGGATAGAGATTGTCTTAAAGGACACAGAAAACATGTGCAATTTACTGCATCAGATAGAACACAAAATCACCCACATACAAATGCTCCCCTGGTGGCTAGGTATTCAGAAGGCTTGATTCCTATAATCACATATAGGAGTATGATTCCTATATCACATTCCTCTTGACATATTACATAGTAAGTCTCTTTTCAGCCAGCTATATAACTTTTCTTTATCAAGACGAATGGTGATCTTATGACACCCAACCCCTACTACCAAATCTTCAAGTGATACATATGTCCTAGGCAGATAAAAGGAATGAAAACAAAAGGAGGTTGAAAGCTAGCTTAGTTTTGCAATTCATATTTTTTTAATATTCAGAAGCTATTTTTCACATTGCAATCCAATTTGAAAGCTGTAAGAGAAAACCAGATTCATTTGTCAAGCACCATCTTAGAGATTTTCTTCTTGCATGCAATTACAACAATGTTAATTATGGACTGAAAAAGATAAATCCTTTGCCTACATATGAAGAATCTGAAGGCTTCTGTTCGCAAGAAAGCCACATGCCCTTACATGACTAAATGTCTATATTTATTTACTTTTAAAAATTAAAAGTGCCTGAAAAAGAATCTGGTGAGAAATGATGAAAGTTACAGAAACTCATGGGGAAAAAATGTATTTGGAGACTCAAGATGGTCTCGATTTTGCTCTGAGAATTTTCCACAGAGTTTTATGTGTATGTATTAGAGCTCAAGAACGGAAGACTCTGAACAGCCCTGGCCCAATAGGCTGCATGGGACTTCATGGATTTGGAAACTCTATGAGAAAGACAACACTGTTTTACAGGATTTGTGATAAAAGCCAGCTCTTTTCTTTTCTAGGTGGTGCAGTGATGCTGCTGGTTTATGAATACACCTATTCATGGCTTCAGGAGAACTGGTGATTGCCTATGAAGTGTTTTTACCCCTTGAGATAATTCATATTTGCTATATAGCACTTTGAGACTGTCAATCAGCTAAGCTGACACAATTACAAATTATAATTATGCAACAATTATATACAATTATAAAGGGGAAAACAATTTAAGAACAAAACCTATTTTGATACTTCAAAAGTTATTTCTACATAATTTGAGACTGTAGTTCTGGCTATATCCATAAAATTGTAAGAAGAAAAATAATATAAAACCATAAGGTATGGAGACTGAATATAGAAAAATAGCATAGAAAAACAATATAAATTTTGTGACTTATGCTTAACCTACATCATTACACAATGAAAATCCATTGTTTGATTGTTTTTCCCAAGAGGCCAAGAAATGCTTAAAGTTAAAAAAAAAGCCAAAATTAAAATATTTCTGATAAGAATTAAAGTCTTCCATATATAATATTTAAAAGTCACAATGAAAATATTTTTGAAGTGCACTAAAGTGGTCTTTTAAAAATATTGACTTTTATGTTAAAATGTATATCTTTTTTTAGTAATAATACACATCTCAGCTCTACTTTTAAAAATCTATTTTATATTTTGCAATGTTGTTTAAAGCAGGTCATACTTTAAAATCTAGATATTTGTGGTCTCTCATGACAAATAGAAAACACGAAGTGATATTAAACTGCTTTCCTTCACATTGTTCCGTTTGAAAACCAGTTTCACCATTGAAATGCGCTCATGTTGAGTCACGCGTGGGAACCACTCTTTGGGCCCATTTGTGCTGTCTGCCTTTGCATCCAAATACCTCTGTTAACTACTCTTACTATGCCACTCTTAAAAAGGATGTTTCAAATAAAAGAACATTTCCAGGTTACTAGTTATAAGTACCAGCTTCAGGCTGTGAAGTCTATTTGCAATGTTAAGATATGTATTATTTGGGAAAAATAACGTTTCAAAATAGAAGTACATTCTTAGCATTTCCAAAGATTCCTGCTCTAACACACACTTCAAAAAATATCTTCTTGGCCTTGATATAAGCACAGAATTTTATATCCGCATCCTTAAATGATGCTACTTCAGTAGCTAAAAATCACCCAAAATATCTGCATGTTCTAGGTGACACCTGTTATTAACTATGACTGTGGGGTATTTCTACCATGAAGCTATGTCACTAAGGCATTTTGAAAATAAAAAAATAAAAGATAACGTGGTAATTATTACTTTTTATTAACTTAGAGAATTTGAAGTATAAAAATAAAGGCTTTTGACATACTGTATATACATACGCAGCCTTCGGTTGTACATCCTTTCCAGCGTGTTTTTCTTTAATTTATAGTTCAGCCCAATGTTCAAAAGAGTGTCATCGAAAGTAGGAGAAAAACAAGAGATATAAGAATGTGTCTATTGTACAACTGCATCCTGTCCTTGCAGGTAATTCTCCTCCACTGGGAGAGAGCCCATGGAATTGACTCTTCCACCTCTCCGTGTGGAAGAGAATCTCTGAAGAATGCACTTGCCAGTTAAAAAAACACTTTCACCCCCTAAGAAACAGAGGAAATATGTCAACATTACTCAATAGTAATAATGTTTAAAAGTCCAACCATCTCAACCTCATATCCCATCCCATTTTCCTTCTCTTATTTTTAAAAGTAGCTTTAAACCATAATTGCTCCGTATAGCAAATTGTATTTGGGGTTCTGTTGTTTTTTTAAATTTATTTCATGTGAATTCGCTGTTACTAAGAAAAGACCTAGAGGGGGGAAAAGAAAAGAAAACAAGAAGACTTTGATATCATTAATATTAGATTTTTAAAACACACAGAACCAGAAAAAATTATAAATAGCATAACAAGAGATTTCTTAATTTAGATAAAGAAAATAACATTTAGTTATGTTTCCATACAAACAATTGATAGTTTTTTAAAGACTACAAATAGCCACCTAAAAACATCTGATAAGGAATAATCCTGTACCTTATGTCATTTTTTCTGGGCAGCAGGAGAGTCCCTGTATGGTATGGTTTTAAAGTCTCCACCAAGATACTGGATTGGTATTTTTGTTTCACTAGGTTTATAGTCTATTTTCTCACCAGACTAGGAACTCCAGATGTCAACAGGAGTTTTGCAAGATCAAAGGAAGACTATGGCCCTGAGAGTTCATCTGCTCCTTCTGCTTATTCTTCTCCTGAAGTTATAATCCTCTGTTTGTAGCACTGAATTTCGGTTGCTTTAGAAATGAATGCAGTTCAAAGCTCTCTATATGATATCTGCTGCTTGAAGAAAGCAGCTCCTTGGACATAACTCGTAGGTCAGCAATCTGCTTACTGTTTACATCCTAGTGACTTGAAAACCTAGCTAATCTAGCCATCTGAGTTTTAAATGAAGCCACGAAACCAATGTGAGGGAGCTGGATTGCCACGTGGGCTGTGCACAGCACAGACAGGAAGACGTCGAAATCGCCTAACGAACACATCTATCACACCCACGTCCAGTGATGTGCCCTTGTCGTTATTGCACAGAATACCAAAAACTTGCAATATATTAATTTTCCAATAGATGGATTGTACCAATGTTTTAAAAATGTATTTTAAAGCCTATATTGCCAAACAGGACGAACGTTCTCAACAGAAGAGATAAAAACTGTAGAATTTTGCCCAGGAAAATCAGTTGTTTTAAAATACAACACGTAATCACACGCTCACACACACATATACCCCACAGCTCTATTATTAACATTAAAATTGGTCTAGAAAGACTTATCAGTTAAACTGTGTCCTGTAACTCCAGAAATGAATAAAGGGAAATTTAAAAATTAAATAGGATTTGTATTTCTAATACCACCACCAGTTTACCTACATGTGAAACATGCTTCTGTACAACAATGTAAACTTCACAGCAAGCCATTTGTACATTCATTAGAGCAGAATTTTCCATTTTCTTTAAATTACAACATAATTTTGGGCTGAGATTGCTGAACACACAGGTAAGCCAACAATAACAGTACAATTTAGTTTCACAGTGGTTTTCTTAACATAAAGTTCATTTTAAGTGTCTTTGCAAAGTGTTTCACATTAAACGTAAGTTTCTAAGTGACTTCCCTTAGAGCCTTCTTGTTCAGATATTTTCCACCCTCTCTTGTCTTTGCATGTTTGGCGTGTGTGTTGTTGGATTAGGTAGGATACAGAATGGGAGACTGGCTTGTTGAGGCTGTTTTTTGAATCCTCTGCTGTAGAAAGAAAACGTCCTTCATGACATGTGGAAGCCTTCACTGCACACACAGAATTTATGGCAAGTCCAGGTCCAGGAGCCTGAGCAGCCCACCACCAAACAGAGACAAAGACATTGCCAGAAAGTCACCTTTGTGAAAAGAAAGAAAAAATAGAGAGGGTTGGGGGAGGGGGGTATCCCACGGAATGAAAACACAAATGCACCATCCAGAGTCCATATTTACAAACTAATAGGAAATATAAACATTGTCATATTTGGAACCAAGTCAGAACACCGGGAGAAGCTAAATTCAGATATTGCTTGTCTTATACATATATTCTCCAACAAAATAGGTCACCTCTTAAAAATAAACAAAGGATCACTCAAACAAATCAATTATTGATTGGTTTCCTAATGATGAATTAAGACTTATTTGGTCACCTTATTTGATTAGAGGGTGTAGCATAACTTTTTTCTATATGTATTTTCCTTTATTGATTTTGCAAAATCTCAACAATTGCACATTTCAAAAGTTTAGGTCGATTTAGAATAAATATACACATGTGGTTTTACCAAAGACTAGTTTAAAAAGTTCCTTAAGCCCTTTGAGGGGTGCAGGTTTCTTCACTACATTAGAACAGTGTGTGGGCAGCACAAATGTCTCATTCAGTCCTTAATATTGCTTTTGTTTTTAAATTCTAACGTCCTGTCAGGTTTTCTGTGAGAGAGAAGTTATGGCAAGAAATAATTGTCATCAGCACAAAGGATGTGAGTCCATACAGCCAGCTCTCCAGGCAAAAGGGTTGGAGGGCAGGAGGGGGAGGGTGGGCGGAGGGGGGTGGCTGGGTGAGGCTGTTGCAGACGGAATTTCCCATCAGAGTGCGGAAGCGGTGACAGAGTGACTACCTTCTCTGGCTGCCTGCATTCCCTTGAACGCCAGCGATGCAGGAATGTCACAGTTGTGGGGGGAAAGTGGGGTGCCACTGGCATGTTGCCATCCGTGTCCTGCAACATAACCAGAAGGAGCAGCGCTGTAGGTCATGTAAGGTGACACTTGGGCCGGGGTCGGGTAAGGAGCCATGGTGGATGCTGACACGAAACTGCTCACAGCCGGGAGGCCATTTGGTGCCTAAGAGGAGCAGGAAAAGAGAGGAGGTGAAAATAAGCACCTTACAGCAGTTGGCATTTTACAGGTTCCTAGAAGCAGACCGTGAGTTTTGAGTAGTAACAACTAACAATATTCTGACTCTACTTTCTGATTTTTTTTTCAGATTTGAACTTAAGTTGTTCTAAATTCACAGTCTTGCTACTTAAACAAACACAATGCCAAAAGACAAGATATCATTCTTTCCACAATGGTTTTGAGGAGGCTATGGCCAGAAAATTCACAGTATTTGCTTTGCTATTCAGAACTATAGGAAGGCTATGCAGGGTGAGGAAAGAATTAGCAGTGATTAAATAGTGTTGGAATCTGTTCTTTGATCCATATGCCTTTGTCAGCCTTCCCCATACCTTGGTTTTGTTCGGCTTTTTTGTTGAGACATTTGTGTAGGGCCTGGTTGGTGCAGCTTTCATTTCCAGTAAAAATGGGCACAGAGCGTGGGCTGGCAGTTTAGAAACTCAAAATGAGCACAACCTTTGTTAAATAAAACATGGTCAGTATTTTAAATTGTCATGTTGTAAATACTTATTGGACAAAGGACATGCAAAATCAGTCTGTTTGTCTTTTTAGGGTTTTTAAATGAACATTGGGGGTATTTTTTTCCAGAGCTATTCTATCAAAAAAGAAACCGGAGATTCAACTATAAAAAAATCTGCATATGTGTGGTTTTGAATTTGGAAAATTGGCTTGCAAAGTTTTGGGGCCCTGTGATGTGAATTTTTAAAAGCCACATGGACAAATCTCTTGAAATGAATTTAAATATAAAATCTCAGTTTGCAAACAAAATGCAGCAGCTCTCACAGGCATGTGTGCCTAGAAACAGCACCCTTCTTGGCATCTGATTATTGTTGGTATTGCTACTATTAACAACACTAAAACACCCTCATCTCTAATCCAATTCTGGCATGAACACTCAGCATCCTTCTTCAAGTAACTTAAAATTTTTCCCTCAATTTCTACATTATTTAAAAATAAAGAGTACATCCATTTTCCTGGTAGTGATGTGAGTGAATTAACATAGCAACATATTTCCTAGTGAAAGTAAAAATGCAAATAATAGATTTATTATTAGTAAAACTGATTTCATCCTTAGAGGTAAGTAAAACAGGCATATGTTAATTAGATGCTTTTTCCAATTCAATTGCAACATAGAAATTATTTTCTAATTTAATTCATGTGGTTATTATTCTCACTTCCACATCTCTGAGAATGCAGTGATGGGGTCTCAAAATGATTTTCTCAATTTAGGGTTAATGCTTAGAGTAGGATATACACATGGCTATGATTTAACACTGCTCATGAACTGCTGACAAGATAAGAATAAAAGTAGAGGGGTTAAACGTTGTGCCCTTGATCTGTAAGGGCACGTTCCTCCCGTTCCGTTGGCCAGAGTGCCTGTTCTTGGAAAAATGGGGAAGGGGAGCATGTGTCCTGGCATGGAGAAATATTCATCATATTTCGTCAAATAATGAGGACTGTGTTGTACTATTGAGTTTACACTAATTATAAGATAATATATAAGGAGCACAACACAACGTTGAATTAAAATTAAAATGTATTACAAGGGTCCCAAAGCATGATACTATATTTTAAAAGAAACAAACCATTGTGCATCATTATCTAACATAAATGAAATCTTATTCTCTTTTGGTACACAATAATGTGGATTGAGGAATTCAGTCTTTTACCCTAGTGCAATTGGCCAGTCCGTGGCCATGTGTTAAAAGAAGTTATCACCCTTGTCTGATGCAGAATCTTCTGTAGTAAATATTTTTCTGCTTTTGTTGGACAGTTAAAAGGCAGGCACAATTTAATCTGAAACTGGAGCTCCTTTTGAGATAACAAAAAAGATTCTTTCTTCTAAATTCCTATTGCTATAGCCCCATTTTATTTCTTAAGTTTTAAAAAAAAATCTTTTTTCCTTCTTTCTGAGAATGGCTCAAAGGAGGCACTGTAAGGCTCTCAGCAGATGAGTATGAAGATAGTGAGCTATCAAATTGCAGAAGAAATCTAGCATTGCATCAAGATTATAGTTCTGATCACGTTTATTTAGGATTTTGCCAATAACCTATGAGGAATTAGCTTGGAAAGGAATCATGCCAGTTCAGTGGCAGGATGATGTTTGCATCCACACTCAGCCTCTTCAATTCCACCATGAATTAATATTTTGTACTATTGAGGTTAATGTGCATGAAAAGTCGTAAAATAGGAAAGTTCAGATTAAAATGTTAAGGTAATAATGATTACTTTTAAAATAAGGAAAACCTTTGCTCAGCATTTTATAAATACATAAGGTTAGACTATTTAATATTATACATGATGGAAACAACATTCTAGTTAGCAGGGAAAAAAATCTGTTGATGAGATCTCTTTGTCATCATAGCTAACTTTTTTCTATGTCTTCATTTAATCTTTGTATTTTTCTATTATCCAAATGACAGTTCTCTCTGAAATGCTTGCTTTGTTATCTTCCCTTTCTTCCTCTTACACCCTTCTTTTGGAACAATTGCTCCTGGATATGCCCCCTTTTATTTGGGGCTCCTCAACTATTTTGTTGCTATGTCTACAGTCCCCTTACACTCTTTTTGCCCAGAATCTTTCCCCCTGAGAAACCAGGCTGGATGACGGTCTCATCACCTTAGACAGCATTCCCGGGACTGAGAGGGAGGCACACCGTTGGATTTAGGCCTGAGTTACCTCCAGGTGCCCTACTGATTCTATGACTACATGTGTTTTTGAAGTGTGAAAACTTTACTAATTTTTCCATGTTTGTCCAATTTCTCACACTGAAGGCACCAAACTTGCTTTTATATTATTATTCTTATTAATATAAATATCTCAAAGTTTTATAAAATCTGCAACATAAAGTAATTTCAGAGATGTGGCATCCTCTGTGTTGCAGAAATGAAGGGTAGGAAGGGAAGCTGAGAGAAGTTTGATGTCCACAAAAAGGCAAGGGGAGGCTAAAATGTTTGCTAAAAAAATCTTTAAACAGTATAAAAATAGCTCTAAACTTTCCCTCAGGTTAAATTATGACCCAGATTTGGAATGAAAAGTTTTTATCATCTTTTTTCTTTTTCTTTTTAAAGTACAGATTTAGAAATTTAGGGGGGAAATGGCATTAAGCAAATGAGAGAATAAACATGCTTTAATAGGTAACTGCCACTTTCACTATTCATTCTAGTGACTCAATAAACACATCAACTTCCTCACTATTAATTTTGAAATATGACATTAGTAAGTGATATAAATCTCTCCTGGATAAAGTAATTGTTATTTATGAAGCAATCACTGAAAGAGTAAAATGTTCCACCACAAAGGAAAGCAACACAGGTAGCATTGATGTTTGTTTATTCTTTCAAGTGAAAGAGTACATGACTTTAACTCCCCAAAACTGTTTAATGTTTTCAGTGAAGGGCATGTAATTAATCTGAAAAGCTAGTTAGGCTGAGTAGAGACTACCAAATGTACACCATAAATATAGAGGGAGCAAACATGCTAAATTACTCTATTTAATTGGATTGTAAATATGATTTATAAATCAACCAACATATGGAATCCCTGGGGAAGAGTAAACAAATTTTCCAAATGAAACCCCAGCAATGGGCATGTAATGGAAATCTCATATTTGAAAATGACTTTACCTAAAGATTCCATAAATAAGACCTCAATCCATCCACCCCTTTTTGCATGGATATCTTCCTTGAAAGCAATGAGAAAATCCTTTCCTCCAAAGAATTGTACAAGGGTCCTCCCTGAATGAGGGACTAATTTTGAGAATGAGATTTACTAATACAAAGTGAAACAGACCAAAGTACATATCCTAGAAAAAGTAAGTCACTTACTTTGTTGAATATTTTTAGGAAAAGACAGATTTTATCCCACTGACATTAAAGGAAATTGTCCAGAAAAAAAAAAATGTAAGCTGCAATGTAGTTTAGTTTAAGGTTGTCACAAGAATGAATGAAAAGTATGAGTTTTCATTTTATTTGTTCTAAAAGGTTAGAAATACAGATTTGCCAGGTCTTGAGAATATGTTTTTAAATGAATATGTTGAGAAGCTGTATTGGCAGAGAGCTAGATTATAAACAGTTTGAGGATAGGGACTTGCCTCAATCATCTCATGTCCTCACAAAACAGGACACATTATAGGTATTTCAAAATCATTTGTGTACTTCAGTTAGGGCACCCTTTTGAAAGCAAAACACATGATACTCTTGCTTTAAAAAAAAGTAGGCATCCTTTATCACAGAACAAGTATTACACTTTACATAAGCAAAATGAATAAAGCTGTTGAAAAAAGTAAATAAAACTTCTAACCTAGCCATTTCATTATTTGTTTGATGGTTGGTCCATTTATCCCACCTCTGAGAAAATGGAAATGCATTAGCACCCTAACACTAATGGCCACCAAAACAAAACAAAGCAAACAAATAAAAAAAAACCCTTGTATGACAACTGTCTGGCAATTAGAGATTATAAACTATTATTCTTCAAATTCTGGGAATTGTCTACTCAACATTTTCACTTTTGAAGAAAATACAAATAGTAGTGCCAAATTCTCTACCCAGAATCTTTCATCCACTCATCAGTTCCACCTGGTCCTCCTCTTACACTAAAATGAGTTTACCTTGGCTTTATAATGAAGTAGATGTAGCCACAAACAGAGATGTGCTTCACCTAGAATTTCAACCTCAATATATATCATAAACAAGAAAGTAGTTCAAATCTGAACATAAACAAGATTTTCTCTCATTTTATGGTGAAATCATATTTCTGGCTGTCATTCTAAACTTAGTTAATTATGCAATGACTTAGGAAAACAAATCTGATAAAATGAAATGACAGTTATAAATATGGTATCAACATTCATTCAAAAGGATCTTAATTATGCTTAGTTATCCCAAGGCATATCTAAATGTCTCCAGGTAATGCAAAGCTACTATTTAAGGTTTTTTCCTAAGTTTTATGTTTCCAAATGTTACTAAAATAGATGTAGTCTTAAATTTTAAAAATTATTTTTTGCAGTTTTTATGACACATTTTACTGATACATAATCATTAATTTTGTTTTAGAACACTAATAGTTAAAAGCTAAGCAGGTCAAGCAATGTTTTATGTAATGGGTAACATTATGAATTTCAAAGACTATTGGCATTTGCTTAAACTGCAGTCTCTCTACAAAATAATAAATTATTTAACACAAAATTAACTTTATTTGATATTAAGAAAAACCCAGTGCAAATTAACTTATTTTTCATAAGAATACTATGTCTACAAGGACCACCAGTTTTTAAAATAATATACTAATAAATATATTCAATATTCTGAATTACTATCATTATTTCAGATTAATTTATGTCTCTGAATTCAAATACTTTCATACCTCTGAATGTTTCCTTAAGTTCAAGTATTTATAGACTCTTCTTCATTTCTTACATCTCAATTTGTAACTAATATTATACTGAACTTGCTGTCTGAGTTAAGTATATGCTACCCCAAAATGAAGATACTCAAAGCTTATAAATCTACCATTCAGATACTTTAAATAAAGCACCAGACATGCAATATATTTTTCTGAGAAAGTATGCCCAATTATAGAATATTTTTCAAATGCTATACAATTATTTATAAACTGTTTAAATAAAATGAGTCAATGATTCACTATCATGTAAAAATTTGAATAGCTATTTCCAGCCCATTATTCTTTATATATTTTTGCCAGTCAATTGCACTCAATAGAGGTTTTATGATTTCAGCAGAAGAAAACCAGCAATTAAGAACCAGAGAACATTGTTACCATTCAGAATAACATGAGATTAAAGAGTTCTAACCTAATAGATAATGTAGTTGGAAAAAAAAACAAAAGTAGATAAATACTATTTTTCTCCTGTCCACAGAGGTAGACAATATAAATTGCAGTGTAATATTAATGTGTAAGACAAGTTTGAATATTCTAAACTAATAATGGGCTAACTTTGAAAACAAAAGGTAGGGGTGTGTGTGTAACAAATGTGCATAAGGTTCTAATTATTAGCAATCGGGCATCTTTCTTTGCAGTTTAAACTGAACATGGAAACTGGATTACCTACAATCAGTTGTCAATTCAGTCTCTTAGGTAATTTTACAGGTGTCTTCTGGGAATAGATTATGTTTTAAATCCTATAATTCTGAATTCTCAATTTCCTCCTTTATATACTAAAATAAATTTGGAATCATATAATATTACACTATTTAATAACAACCATAAAGGCCCTTAAAGTATTATGGCAATTTTTTAAAGAATATTTTTCACCAAAGACTTTCAAATTTTGTTCAAATACAAAAATTATATATACATATATAACAAATATGTATATAAAACACCCCTTGCCTCTTTGCATGTTTACAAGCAAATATTAATGTATAATTTTACCCTCAAGGAAATGAATGTCTAAATTCCAAAATTGCTAGGTATGCCTCTATTGAGGATATTTGAATTCTAGTGAATTACTTAATTGGAGCTAGGTGTACTTCTTTAACTTTGCTTTAAACCATGTTATTTTTCAAAATGTATAATAAATTCATATTAAAATAATAAATTCCATAATTGCTCATAAAATGACAGTCTAAATTTATGTGCCTGCTTAGCACATCTTCAGCAATAGGCACTATTTTGATAATTATAATAAAGTAACTGCTGATTTAATTGTCCATTGCAACTTTTCAGGTTTTGAAATTTTACATCATTTGAATTATCTTACTATATGCCAATGCAGAAGATTAGTATATTTCAATTAAGAACTTTTCAAATATAAGTTTGATATAAATATTTTTTCTGGAAAAAAATTTGACTTGTTCTCTTGGAACAATATTTATTTGGCCACTTATTTCTTTCAGTTACTTGCTTTTATAAATCTAATAATTTAGTGATTTAATATTTATTGTATTAAATGTAATCGCTTTTCAATGTTCGGAATTACAAAGCAGTTAATTTGAAAGTGTTCTATTTTTCTTTATTAAAGGTATGTGTATGTATAAATTAACCATTTCTAAACAAGTTTAAATACTAGCTCTGTAATTCAAAACAGTAGAAGTAATCATAAGGATTTTTGGATTATGGAAATAACCATAAAGGTTTTTGGATTATCAAATATATATGGAAATTAGAGACTACTTTTTAAACTATTCTTTACAATGTTATTCTAAGAAATGATGACCTAATAAAAATTACTGAGCACCTGTTAAATGCTATCTACTATGCTAGGTACTTTATATGCACTGCTATTATTTGTAACAAAATACCTTGTCACTTTTTAACTATGAGTCCCCTGAACAAAGTATATTTTGACTTTTTTAATTGCTTGTTTTCAAGGGTCAATCTCTAACCACTGCTTGTAGCCACAGGTAATATTTAATGAATGCTTTCTATGCCATATGTTTGCATTATCTCACTGAATCTTCACAACATCTCTTAAGGTTGTATTATTTTCCCACTTCAATGATGAAGAAATGAAGGCTCTAAAAGGTTAAGTGACTTGCATAAGTGGCAGTGGTACCAGAAGATCAGAGTTCCTAACCATTATACATACTGCCTCTTCTTTACAAAGGACCGGCCCTTTTGTAAAAGAAAATGACAAACTCTCTTAGAATTGTTCACTGGCATTCTTTACAGTAGGAATAGACTCAGGAATAGGACTCTCCTTCCTTGCTGTTACTTTCTGTGATATTTATCATGGGAGAGCTATTAATATGTATCTGACTCCACTTTAACAAAATAAGGGAGAGAAGAGGAAGTGAAAATGGGTTTGTTAGAGAAAATAACAACTAAGTTTTTCTCTGCAGCAAATAAAAGTGACAAGTTCCATTCTACCCAAAAAGTTGGATTTTACAGATAAGAAAACATGGAAAGTGTTAAGACTTCAAAAGAATGAAGTGAAAACTGGATATTTTGAGGCTTTGGAATTGGAGTTTGATATTAAGAAACTGCATACCCGCCCAGCTCTGCTCATCTGCTGAAAAAATCTTACGTTGCTTTAAATTTTTGTTTGGTGGGTTTTTGTTGTTGTTGTTGTTGTTGTCTTTTGTTTTGTTTTGTTTTGTTGGGTTTTGTTTGGAGAGAGAGAGTTTGGGCTTTGAATTCCTGATTTTAGCATGGTGATGAATTTAGACTCCAAACTCTGGGGCTTTTATTGTTGTGGCTGCTTGATCTTTCTCAGAAAAAAAAATAGAAAACAAGAAACACGGGTGGCTTAATTTTTCTTTAGTAGTGTCGGGGGAGGGACAGAGGGAAAAAAAATTAAACGGTCCACAGCCAGTCCGTATAATTTGAGGTTTTCTCACTAAGCTCCCTTGGGAGATTCCGACGTGACCTTTAATCGGGAAATGGTAACTTTATTAAGATTATCTGGTTGCCCCCTTCCCGCTACCACAGGACAAGCCACGCTGCTTAGTCCTCCGGGAGCCGCGGTGTGCGCGCGCCGGAGCGCGAGGCCCCCGCAGTTGCGGAGCCGAGACCTCCCACGTGCGCTCCACGGGCGGGCGGGCGGGCGGGCGTGGGGGACACTCGCCGCGTAGCCTCTCGGAAGCGCCCCCTGGCCCTCTTCGGGCAACCCTGGCCCCCAGACGAGCGGCGGAAAGGGCTCCGAACAGGCGCGGAGGCGCTTCCAGGCCCTCCGCGACCCCGGCGGGGGTCGACGCCTCGACTGCGCCCAGGGAGGAAGGGGGAGTCTTTCCCGCCGCCCCCCGCAGTCTGGCACCGCCCGGCTCGCGCGGCGGCCCGCGGGCGGCCCGGGCTTCCCCTCCCTCCGCCGAGGTCAGGAAGGGATCGCGCTGGTCCACCGCCCGAACGCAGCCGCCCCTCGCACCTCACCTGACCGTACTTGGCTTCCTGCTCCAGGGCTCCCTTCTCCAGCCCGTTTACCGCGTGCGGGGCGGCGGCGGGGAAGCTGTTCCGTCCCAGACTGCTCCACTCCTCCACCTTGGGGCTGTGGTAGGGGGAGCTGTCGCTCACTCCTGGGGAGGAGAAGACCTCAGGCTGGTGGCCCCAAGCACGTGCCCCCTCCTGACACGCGACCCGAACCCGCGACCCGCGACCAGCGGGCACTAGGGCTCCGACCTCCTTCCGCCCCGGGGCCTCGGCCTCCCACGGGCGCCGGGCCTCGGCGCGGCCTCTGCGGCTTGCAGCCCAGGGCCCGGCCAAGTGGACTGCCTCAGAGTAGGCCTCTCCCAGCTCTCTCACCCGCGCCTTCGGAAAGATTTTTGTTTTTCTTTTCAACCGGTCTTTGATTTTCCCTGGCTCCCCCAGAGAAACCAGTGGAAGGAACCTGACAGTTTTGCGAAAATGTTTCCAAATCGGGGTAAGCCCCCGTGAAGCTGGTTGTACCGTTCTCCCCAGTCCTAACCCAGCGTGGACTGGGGGTTGACAATCTGGGAATGGAAGGGACTGACAAGGGAGAGAGGAGCATCCTGGCCGAACTATCTCCGTGCTGGGCGTAGACACATCCAGGTAATGCTCTCTATAGTAGGGGCCTGGTAGTTCTGTCAATAAATGGAACAAAAGGCCTGCAGAGTTCTTTGCAAACACAACGAAATGCTGCCTGCAATACACATGCAAAATATATGTGCGTAGATTTTCCCCTGTGTGTGACCAGCCTCGATACCCTTTCTCTATATATGGAATACGAGGGTATGTGCACATGACTCAAAAAAAAATAAGCATTGCAATTACCATTGTAAATGCCATGCGCATCATTTTCGTGGTGATTTTTATGATATAAAAGGTCAAGAAAATGAAAGTAGAATTAAATGTTTGTTAAAGGAATAAAGGCACCAGTTATCCTTTATGTTCTTAATAGAGATGCAAAGTAAGTTATGTGGTGTAAACTGATTACCACAATACCTAAGGGACTGCATATTGAATCATTGGCATCTTTAAGTGACCAAGTGCAATTTTAAACAGAAGATGTTTGAAGACTGTGAACAGTGTGTTCTGTCTTTGGGACCTATGGGTGGAGGACCAAAGTTTGACAAAGCCACTACAACTTGATTTTAAATACTTCCATCTGACACAGTGCTTGGAAGTTTTGTAGAAATGGTCCATTTTAGAAACAATCTTTTTATATTCACAGATTTGTCAGAAAACAGGTTATTTATAGCTAGCATCCAGAATCAACAACATCTAGAATGAAGAGTTACTACTCTCAACAATACAATACTTTTCTAACTGACATTTGGTCTGATTGGAGGATCCCCAGAGAAGAAAAGTTTTCTTTTCGACTCTGTCGGTCTCCTTTCACTGTCCCTCCCCCTCTCCAAAGAATTAGATTGTGTTCCAATTTTCACCAGGAAACTCTATTTTGGCTCAGGACTGCCAGTCTGTCTTTGCCTTCCCAGACAAAAGGCAATCGGTGGGCACAAGCCTCAAGTTATCTTAAGAAATTGAGATCCCCCGGTGAGCCCCCAATTCTGCTGATCTCACACTTTCCCATGAACAGGGGCTTCCTTTAAATGTCAGTGAGGTCAGTTTATCCTATAAATCAAGGGCAAACTCTCCAACTAAAGCTCCAGACCAGCTCTGAACTCCTAGAAGGGTCTTGTAAATTCACAGGGAACAAGAAGATGAGAAATTGGGGCTCTGATTTAATTATTTAAAAGATAATTGTGCCAATGTGGTGGTAAATAAGAAAGGCAGGAACTAATTAAAGGAACTACTTCCTCCACCACCCCTTCCTATTTAATTTTTCCTCCACACATTTTAAATTTTGGCTGAGAAATTAAGAATGTAGGCTGTTTGTCTCCGCAATATTTAAATTCTGAGTCTGGGATATTCTGACTTTCTTTTCGCCCTACCGAGAAAGAAATTTATGCCATTAGTTTTGTTTTGCTTTATTTTAACAACGCAGTAAAAGAAAACAAACCCGGGGCTCTTGAGGAAGCCCGAGGGAACAGAAGGGCTCCGGGAATCGTTCTTATCAAGCAGAAAAGACACTGAGAGCACCGCAAGGTCAAGGGTGAGAAAGGAAAGGAACTGTGGGGTGGCACCGTTGAAAACGTGCAGGGGCTAGATGCCCACTTGCAGTTCCGGGGGCCTCAGAAGCCTAGAAGGAAGCAGCAGGAGCGGAGAAACAGAAAAGAACAGAAGAGAGGACAGCAGGGAATCGCCGAGCATTTTGTCTCCACCGCGGCGGTGGTTGGTGGCACTTTCTAAGATATGTATATAGTGACGTCTGTTCAGCTAAGAGACAGAGAAGGAGAGAAAGAAACATAGCAGAAAATTGTCCCAGAATGGGCAATGCAGTAACATGCAAGTTGCTAGTAGTAACTTTCGGACCTCCGTTTCCGAGGAAAATGAAGTGAAGCATAAGAATGAAACCAATTAGCTGACATTTGAACTTCCTGCCTGAGCAAATTTGGCCTGATTGCTAGAATCCTCAAGAAGAATACTGCATTTTCCACAGGGTGCTCCACTCCTCGCGGCCGCATCTGATCCCCACACAGGCTGCCTGCAGCCAGCAGCCCAACGCCGGCTGTGATCTCTCGGACTGCGCCCCCAAGTCCGGCCCCGGCCGTGCTCCCCAAGTGAGCGAGCAGGTCTGAGGCTGCAGTGGCGGGGGAGGCGGGGGAGGGTGGAAAATGCGAACCATGTGTTGGGGATGGGGGGAAGTTATGGGTCTGGTAGTTTGAGATGAGGCAGGAGACTGTGTGTGTGGCAAGGAAACCGAGGGCATGAATTTCAAGTTAATGAGATCAGGACACCCCCTGGGAAGACTCCTTACATTTCCAAAGGAAAAAGCCCCAGGTGGTGGGATAGACACTGGCCGAGGCCCCAAATACTGAGACCCCAGCGAGGGTGCGGAGAAAGGCTCTGCACATCCTCACAGCGGCCCTTGAGCCCTCCTTACCTTGGTCGGTGATGGAGCGAATGCCCAGGATGTCGGTGACGGAGTGCGAGGACGGCCAGGTGCGCGGCATGGCCACCGAGCCGGGGATGGCGGGCACCCCAGGTGGCGTGGGCACCTTAGCGGCGGCCGCCGTGATGGGGCTGGGGTAGGAGTAGATGTGGTTATAGGGCAGCGCCGGCTGCGGTGCAGGCTGGTGCTGTTTGTATGAGTCGTAATGGCCCTGTTGGGCCAAGTTGCCGATCTTGTTACGCAGGATGCGGCTGATGGAGCTCACAGAGGGCACGTTGTACTTGTCACACACGCCGTCGGCCAGTAGGCGGTCCCGGATCTCCCAGGCGAAGATGCCGGGGTCCCTCTGCTTGTAGGTCCGGATGTGCTTCACCACAGTGGGGGTAGTGACCCGAGGCTTGCTGCCCCCGATGGCTCCAGGCAAGATCGAGCCTGTCTCGTTGTAGCGCGCCAGGATCTTGCTGACGCAGCCATGAGAGACCCGTAGCTGGCGACTGATGTCACACGGTCTGATGCCCAGTTGGGCCAGTTCCACGATGCGAAGCCGGATGGCATTGGGCAGCGGCCTCCCGTTCACGAATACTCCTCCCAGCTGGTTCACCTCCCCAAAGGCTGGCTCTGCAAAACAAACACAGGGCGCGCAGGGACGCGCACCCGCAGTTTGGGACAGTCGCCTGCCACTCGGCCTCCGGCCTCCGTGCGCGGCGGGGGGCAAGGTGGCTGCATCCGCCCAGGGCTGACGACCCAGGCTTTCCTCACATCCTACGGCCCCTGAGATTTGAGGGACGGCCCCAAACCACCGCGGTCGAATCAGACCCCCTCCCAAATTCCGGTGGTGCTTGCGGCCGCTAGAAACAAATAAAGTGGTGAGACGCGGGGCCGCTCCGAGTGTTCAAAAGTCTCGGAATCAGTCGGGGAAACCGGTCTTGACGCCTGCAACTGGCTCCTACTCGGCTGGCTACCGGGCGCTTAAGTCCTTGGGCTGCTCCCCCTTGATCCTCAGCGCCCCGCCTTGGGGACCTGCGCAATTAGACAAGCTCTAGGGGAAGCTCTTTTTTTGTTTGTTTTTGTTTTTTCTGTTTTGTTTGCCAGTGTGAGTGTATGTGAAACAAAACTTGGTCTGCCACTGGGGCTGCGGCGCTTGCTGATGCCACCGCTCCTTTCTCTTAAAATCAGAAAATGGCATCAACAGCAACCCAGTAGCCAGAGTTTAGACTGAACTGCTGTGCGCCTCTGACCCTTAGCGTGTTCCTACAAGTTGTAGAGCAAAGTCAATAAGGAGAGTGTGAGCGCTCAGAGGTGCGCGCCCTCGCATTCTCTCTCCCTCCCTCTCTTGCTTACTCCCTCCCTCTCCGGCTCTGACAGCGTCCCCCGCAGCCACTCACCCATTGCTCCGAGCAGCACACCAAGCGGGCCCCAGTTCCGAGCTCCCAGAAAGAAACTTTTTGCACGGCCTCAGTGGCCCAGCCCGTCGCTGCCCCAGACCGTGGGTGCCTCCGCTTCTTCCCCGGAGGAGTCGGTGAGAGTGCAAAAGGAAGGAGTAAAAGGAAGTCTGTGCCCCGTAGAAAGTGGCTTGAGTTCTGCATTTCAATCTAAGCAGCAACGTGGGCTGGGCTGAGCGGGGCGGGCGGCTCTGTCTATCACTCACTGTGGACACGCCCCTCACAGAGGAGGGCCCGAGGGCAAGCTGCGTGGTGATTGGTGCGGGCCGGTGAGCGACAGCACGGTCCGGGAAAGTCCTTCCGCTGTCTCTTCATGCTTGCTCCGCACCTGGGTGACTCAATAAAATGGAAATTGGTGTTTGACACCTTCTGAGGAGTAACGCAAGTAGACAGCAAAATCATGCTGATGAAAATGCTGAATAAGCAAATTAAAGCTTTTGGTCCCCATATGACAGACTCGAAGAGAGAAGGAGCTGAGGAGACTTGGGGGGGGGGGGGGGCCGAGCGCCTACGAAGTTCTTAGAATTGTTACGTGTGGACACTACCTCACCCCGGGAGATGAAAGCAAAGGTGAGGGAAGGTGGGCCCATCGGAGAGACTGGGAGGTTTAGGGGAGACAAAGTCAGAGGAGGAGGCCACGCTTACCACCAGAGGGAAACCTCTCCTTGCCCCCCTCCACGGGACTAGTCTCGAGGGGAGTGTTCGTCCAGGAGCTCGGGGCACACTGCAGCCACGCAGGCTGCAGACAGAGGCCACGCGGGTCTCAGAGAATATAACCACGCGCGGCCGAAGCGAGCGCACAGCCACCTTGGACTGATGCCTTCGCGTGGGGTGCGCTCAGGGGAGGCCCGAGCGCCCCTGCGCTCCGCCGAGGTGCCGGCCCACTGGCGCCCGGTGCAAACATCTGCCGGTTTCCCCACCACCACAAAACCACTGCAAAGGGGTTTTGTTTAAATATAAAAAAATACTTTATCCCGGGAAGATGAACACCTGGTCTGCATGTGCATGCAATGCCGGCATCTTCGGTTTACCTACCAGAGGCCCCGGGGTTCAGCCTTCCTCTGAGTTTCCACTTCGTTCACCCTAAATCTACTCTAAAGTGTACAGTTCTCTCTTGGGTGGCCAAATTATTCTCCTTTTGAGTGTGAGTTATAGAGAATGCTAATCAACATTTTACAATACGGGGAACATTGTTTTAAAATAAACTTTGCAGTTGCCCTGGTTCGGGTCTATGATACGCATACTGTTTATTAACTGACTGCTCCTTCCAGGACTTGGGCTGATCCTCTCACAGTCTCAAGGGATGTGTGTTGCTCTGGTCTACGGAGAAGCTGACTGGGCCAAGATCCCGGGGAAGTAAGTGGAAAGAACCCAGTAGAAACTAACGATCCGCTGTGCTTTTTGGAATGAATAGCAATCTCCAGATTCTTATTCTTCTATGGCAGGCATTCCATGTTCAAATTTCCAGGTACAAAGGATTTAAAAGATAAAGGAAAGATGAATTTGATTACACTTCATTCTTTACAATTGGTTTCCCATAACTAGGAATACAGTACTTGAACTTATCTACCTGCCCTCTCCCCAACTGTTTAAAATCTCAAAGTTTGACTTGATAGGGATTTCACTGGTCCTGACCCCCAATACCTGTTGAGTCACACCGACAGGCACTTTACAACGCAAAGGTCTTTTGGAATCCAAGCTTTTAAAAGCAGCAGCAGCAGCAGTTCCTTCTTGGGGCTGGGGTACAAATTAATTGAGACTGAAATGTCTGAGGAGAGCTTATGATTCTGCCTTAGGCTTTTTGGTAGGAATAAACATGGTGGGCATCTTGATCAGGAATCCCTCTGGCCCCTTCCCCCTCAGAAACACACAGTGAGTAGCAACCTACTGTGGGCGGACTCTGCTCAGCCCCAGCGCACCCAGTGAACGTTTGGGTGTCTGAGGGACTGTAGTGTCAGTAAAAAGCTGTTCTGCCTTGGGGCTGGCAAGACCCAGTGCCTCATGTAAACTATGAGCTCTCTTTGAGGGCTATAGCTGGATCTACAGCACCAGCATAGAAAGGCCTAGAGACTCTTATTCAGAGTTCTGACTAGGTGGACCTAACACACTCCCATTCCCTCATCTCCTGCAGCTGCCTCATCTCTGGGAGTTCCTGAATGGACGGGTCTGCGGCTATCTGTCCGTTTCCACCTGCTGGACTTGGCTTTGGTCTGGCACGGGGTCATAGCTGCGGGGACTCTCTGCTCTGTGGTAGCCCGACAAGGCCTCATCACACCTCCAGTAGGTGGGTTGGGGGACAAAGAGGAGGTACAGCGCGCTCAGCTCCCCGCATTCCCGACAGTACAAGTAGAATCTTTGGTGTTTTGGAACACTCAAGTACCCAGGAAGCCCAGAATGGGGCTCCTGGGGCAAGAGAAATGGAAGCTTCAGGGAATCCTAGAGGAAGGGGTTGATTCTGAACCCTCCACGGGAGGCATGAGTGCTGTGGCCAGGTATTAGGCCATCAGATGAACACAGACAAATGACCTGAAAGAGGGACAGAGACAGAAGAAGAGAGGGAGGGAGGAGGGGAAGACAGGAGGGAAGAAAGGAGGAAAGGAGAGTCTGAGGAGCAGCAACCCTAGGCGGTGGGCATAGGGATGCAGGACTTCGAAAAAGAGCAAGGGGTCAGCTAGGGTCAGCGTCCCCCTGGTTACTGCCCTCTCTGGACCCGGGAGATCACACAGAGATCGGAAGAATTTCGACTAAAAGAAATTTAAGACCAAAACCAAAACACAACCAGTACGGCCTGCAGCTAATACAGGCTGGGGAGAAGCCAAAAGCCCTTTCCAGGGCGCTGTCGAGGCCTCCTTTGAGAAGAGACCCACTCTCTGGGTAAATATTTACTCAGTGGGAGACTAGAAACTGGCCGGGCGGGAGAGTGTGAAGCAAGGGGTTTACGGGGTTTGGAGAGAATCCCTATGCTCAGCACTGAAGGGAACAAGCATGTACTTCCGCCCGAGGGGAGCCGGGGCCCAAGACTCCAGAGGCAGTCCCGCCTGGGCTTGCGGCTTGGAGAACTTTACTCCGCAGCCCGCCTTTTGGGGTGGACTGTCGCCCTGCACCTGCGGGCGGAGGCCAGGTGCTTTAAAGTCTTCATAAATCTGTCAGCAGGCCCAGTGCCGCGGGCGGTCACCTGCGGCGACCCCCTCCTGGCCCTAGTGCTGTCTGAGGAGGTATTTGGACCGTGGACTAGAATCCAGCTCCTTCCGCCCTAGCGCGGCCTGGCCAGAGTCGCCTAGGGGATGCCGAGGTCCGACCAGGGTGCAACATGCTTTGCTGGGAGCAGGGAGCCCTCCCTTGCGTCTCCAACCTCAACGGATGCTCTGGGCTGTTCTGCCAGGTGCCTGCATACCCAGGTCTACGAGTCAGAGACAACCGCTGCGGATAGGGGTGCGGGTATAGCTAGAGAACGGCCTGTGTTTGCGCTGGAGAGGGGTCTGCTGTTCCCGGTCGCACTTAACGAAGAGCGGAGTTGGCACAGGCGAGCATTAGGCATCAGGCTCCTCCAACTAGCCCCCTGCCAGAACAAATAGGACTTCAAGTAAGGCCGGAGTGGCGGTGCCCGTCGCTTGCCCTGCGGGGAAGTTTCGGGGATTTGTAACAGTCAGAATATGAGCTCCTGGGTGGGTTTTTGAAACACGGAGCAAAACACTGTTCTTTCATCCGTCTGAGGGAGGAACGCGGTAGAGGCGAGATCCCGCATCCGGTTCCCGCACCCCGAGCGGCTCTCGTAGGGTAAGTAAAGGACAGCGCGCGGTGTAGCGAGAAAAAAATTGGATTTCTCGGATCCTCACGGAGCTGTGCTGCCAACACCGGCCGTGGGTTTCAACACCGATAGGCCCACGGCCAGGTCCTGGCCTCGCAGGGTCAGCGGCCTCTCCTCAGCCCTTTCCACCTCCCAGCCACCGTTGCCGAGTGGCAGCGAGCACCGCACTTAGTGCCTGAGGCGAGGGAGGGAGGGTCCACTCCGGGCTGAAGCCGAAGGATCAGCGCCTGGAAGGCGGGTGGGGGGCGGCAGGGGCCTCAGCTGGAGGAACAGGCCGAGCAGCGAGGGAGAGATGGCCCTGTGTGGCCCTCAGTCCCGGCCAAGCCGGGGCGGGGTGGGGGCTGGAGGAGTGGGGCTCAGGCACACTGACCTGCCAGCTTGGCTTCCCGGGCTGCTGACGCGACTGGACGCAGCAGCCCAAGAAGAGGCCGCAGGGGCCCCCCCGGAGAGGCCCGGGGGATTCTCCCAGAGCTGCCAAGGCCTCCCCGCGGCCTCTCCGCCTTCCTGCTGACGATGCTCCGAAACAAGACCCTTTCCCCAAAAGACAGTAGCCCACCAAGGCGATCCAGAGCGCGGCTATCCGGCTGCCCGCCTGGGGTCGGCCCCAGGGCTGCCAGCGCTCCTCGCCCGCGGTCTCCTGCCGTGGGCAGGGGAGGGGCCTGCTGCCGCCTGGAACCCGCTTTTAATTCTCCGCCTGCCTGTTTCCGATCACTCGGGGTTGGTTTTTCTGTTTGCTCACTCCTTCTGTTACAATAAAAACAATCGACATTTCTTTTCAGTTTCCCCATATTAGCGTCACTCAGTAATTGTTCTCCACCCCCCCCCCCCCCAAGTCGAAGGCGAGCGGGATTGCTCGCACTGGAAGGTTTCTGAGTATATAAGCAAATCTTCCCTAAAGACTTTAAGTAAAAATAAATAACGGCCCGGGAAATTGCCGTGACCCCAGCATCACTTTCTGAACGCAAATTACACCCATTTTTCAGTTTTCAACAGCGGAATTACTTTCAGAAGGGCGGCGCGGGGCCCCTTGTGATATGGTTACATGTGTTTATTAAGTCCGCGAATGAAAGAGAACACATTTCTGCGCACCGGGCGAACCTCGCGGCTGCGGGCCGGTCGGTGTCGTCTAGAACCGGGTCCTGGCCAGGGCCCTCTGCGAGAAGGGTCCCTGCGGGGGGCGGGGGGGGTGCGGGGGTGGCTAGGCCCAGCCTCTCGCAGGGGGAGTGCACTCCGCTCAGCCGGGGCGCAGCAGCGCCTGCAGCCTCCAGCTGCCCCGCGACCCGGGAGGACGCCGTCTGCGGTCCTTGTGCAGCCCCGAGCTGAGGCGGCCCGAGAGGCTTGCAGCTGCGAGTGGGAAAAGCAGAGCTTCGGGGTTTTTAAAGACCCGGCCCACAGGGTCCCTGAGAGAGCAGGGCCGCTGCCTCCTCTCGAAGACCCGATTGGCCTAAAGGCTGTCTGGGAAAGATAAACGCGAACCAGGCCGCGCCTCTGCGCCTGGCGGTCGGCTCCCCAGCCACTGCCCAGCCCGCGGGCAGCCCCCGCGCCCCGCCCCGCCCCGCGGCGGCTCCGGGGCTGCAGCTTTCCCGCGAGGTCCTCGTTGCCCGCGGGCTCCTAGCGCGGGAACCAACCTGCGGGCCGGCCGCAGTCCCGGTGCCAAGCGCGGCGGGCAGGCCTCCTATCTTCAGTGATGCAGGGAGCCGCGTCCCGCTCACTTCGGAGTCTCCTCGGATTGCGGGGCGGGGGTGGGGGGCGGTGTGACCGAGAGTCGCGTGGCGTCCCGCGACGCCTGGCGGGCCCTGCAGCCCCGGCCACCGGCGGGACGGCGGGACCGCCCCACGCCGCGCGCGGCTCTCGAGGCACAGGATTTGCAGCGAGCCACCTTCTCCGAGCTAATTCCACCACCAGCCGCGCTGACTCCGAGAGCGGGGACTCCTGCTGCACTGTCCTCGCTTGCCCCCCAGAAACAGTGAGCGGTGGCCGGGAACAGAGAGGCAGGGTCCGAGGCCTGGAAAATTTCCCGCGGTCTTCGAGGCCCCGTCGGCCTCTCCCGGAGTTACCTCGTCACGGCGCCATCTACAGGTGGCAGATGGGATCGTGCTCCCTAAATGATTTTTGCCAGCGTTGGGAAAGGCCTTTGAACGTCCACAGAACTTTGATAGCCCGAAACATTCAGTTCCCCATTCCAATTCCTCCTCCACCCTCGACTCCACTAGGCTCCAAATCTCGGTACCTCTCTCTACCATGTTTCGAGGCAAACCCCAGTATCAGTCTTTTCATGATTCACCAAAAGCCCATCTCCCGCCGGATCCCAGGCTGGATCTTCTCGCGGTCTCCAGAGGCTCCTAAGGACCATGGTCTGTGAGCTCTTTCTGGGCTGCGAGCTGTTCCTGTGCTGCGGCTGGAAAGCCGGAAACTGCGGAGGCTCCGCGCGGGGAAAGGGAGCAATGGGCCCACCCTTCTCCAACTCATCCTTCCATTTGCTGAGGGCTCGCAATAATCTTACAAAGCAAGTATTATTATCTTTTCCGTTTCACAACAGATAAAACGGACTTAGATGAAATAAGAACACACAAGACACTAGGATTAAATGAGTTCACCTGGTTAAGTAGATGGGGCTGTGAACCCCACCATGACCCGAGTGTCCTTGCTTTCCCCATTTCTCTGTTCCGCAGGAACAGCTCACGCTGAAGCCCCAGGAGGAGCCTCCTTACCCCAGGTGTCTGCACGGAAAGTGGACTTTCCCACTCCCTACTAACAGTTAGAGAAACCTGCCTAAGGCAGTACTGAGAGCCTGCGGCAAAGGCACAGTGGGACTGCACCCTACCCTCCTCTCCTGGGCACAGACTCCAGACAACCTAGCGCGTCGGACTGAAGGGGTGAGCGAGGGAGACTGGGATAGGGATCCAGTTGCGGTTACTGTCCCCTACTGGTCTGGGCTAACCGGAGCATGAAGGCGCGGAGTTCGGAGACTGTGGGGACCCAAAGAGTCCCCTCCCCACTGGAGTACCGCAGCTGAAAGGCTTCGAGAGAAGCTAGACGAAGACCGTGGAGAACTGGGCATGAACTGTGCTTCACTGACTTGTTCCCCGACTGACTGGACCTGCCCACCTGGTGCGCTCTCCTATCAACCAGCAGGCAGAGAAATCCACGTTTGTCTTTCTTGGGAATTCATTCTGGTTTGTACCTGTAGGCGTTTCTTTTTAAGACCACTGGAGTGGCGACAAAACAGAAGAAGCCGAGGAGCAATAAAATTAGAACCCTTAATTAACACAGCTAGCTAGACCTAAGGGGTTCTAAAGTACACGTGGTAACTAGCCACACACCCTCCCGGGCTTTCCCTTGCTCTGGGGTGCATTTTGGAGTCAGCTCGACTCTTTTCTCATTACCCTAGATACAGCAGAGAAACAAATATTTCCTTTAAAACACCGTAATAATAAAAAGATTTCAGCACACCCTGACAGAGGTGGTAACCAGGAAAAGAGAAAACCACCAGGTTTTTAGGGCTAAGGTTTTACTGGCCTGAGGAAATCTTCTCTAGCTGTGGCTTGGGCGGAATTCGCTCCATTGTTGAATGGGGGCTAGAGGTGAGGGGCTTCTTCCAGCTTGGACACCAGGAGCTGGGCTGCGAAATCCTAAGCTGGTGTTTTCAGGTTTAGGACAGAATCTGTGCTCCACACCAGGATCTGGCCACCCACATCTTGATTGGAATCACCAGCGCTTTGCAGGTTAGGAGGAAACGGACTATTCTTGCAGCAAGGGTCCTTATTCCAGCAATCTTCTGCTGGTGCGCAGGGGTCCTACAAGTCGTCGTCCTGTCAGGGCTTGGTTCTCCCGAGAATGGATAAGTTCGGGTAGGCCCTCTGCTTCAGGACCCCAAGAGACCCACTGGAAGCATCCAGAGCTCACTTTCTCTGCCTCCCTCTGCCAGTCGAGCATCCTGTCAGTCTAAAAACTCTGAAAATCTGCTCACTACTAGAGGGAAAACTTGGCCTCCCGTCTCCTCCTCACTGTCGGTGGCATTTGAGACAAGCTGTATGTAAGAGTCAGTGGGAACGCAAAGTGTAACCACCTTTCCCCTGACACAACTGGAGGATAGCTCTGGAGAAATTGCTGAGGGACCCAACAATGCGGTTTTCAGTGACTACATGGTGGCTAACGGAGAGACATGTAATGGAAGAACTAAATAAATATATAAACAAAGCCTCTTCAAAGTGTTTCTTTTCTGAGACAAGAGAAATAAAGCATGGTACATTTTTGCAGGTAAACTAATTTCAATCCCCACCACCTCCGTGGAGAGAGGGGGGAAAAATTACTGCCTTTATGATTCACTGTCTTTTTCATCCAAATGAAACATTTTAAAATTGATGCGAATGAGTCCAAATTACTTTTCAGGAAAACTTGAGTAAATATTATTGGTTTTGTTTGGGACATGTATGTCATTTGTGCAGGTGTGGGGAAAATGTTTTAAGGCTTGTTTAAGCTGTAAAGAAATTTTCACATCTAAAAACTACTCACATATTAAAAATGTGTACATAGATGTTTAAGGGTATATCTTAGTTATGCAGATGTACTTTGATAGTGAACTTAATGAAATCATTTTTAGTTGAGCATCAAGAATAAAAACATAAGTAATAATGAGGAGCATAGTAAAAACAAAGAAAAAAACTTCTTGAGGGAAGAATTAATAAGACAAAGAAGGGTTTTTTAGACAATACCAACATTTTGCATTTGATCCTAATTCCTACAGTTCTATGTTATTTCAGCTTTTACATATTAAGATGGTACAATTTTGATTCAGTTGTTGAATTATATCCAGCCTTTAGGTTTAATGGCTGCAGGGGGGAGAGACAGGATTGCAACAACCTGAGATTAGCACCAGAAATGCCAGGCCAAGTTCTTATGTATGGTGTGGAGGCCGCAACAGTGTGGCTGTCATTCTTATATTCCCTGGGAACAGAGGATTGGGAGAACAGGCTGGTTCCATTTCCTGCAGGATCAAAACGCTAACCCGTGACAGTGGCTGGCCTGGGAGCCGCTTCTTAGAAGGACAGAAAGCCAATGTCATGACCACAGGGGACCTTTTAAAACCCCCTAGCACCTTCTTGCAGAACCAGAGGTGTGAATCTGATGTACTGGCGAGCTGACAACACAAATTCCCAAAGCAGTTTTTATTGCCTAAGCGATTCATATACTATTCCCTTTGGGATTGCATTCTGCCTAGCCACATGGTTCTGTTCTTGAGACACCCCTTTCAGTGGGGGAAGAAATAATGATCCCATTACTCAATGTAAAGAACTTTCCATAATGCCAGTTTAGGTTAAAATTTTTAACCCCTGAAAGTCAGGAAATAGAAAAATCAAAACTCTTTTACTTGGGTTAAATCACCCTCACTGCTCAGGCTATATAATACGTTGTGTATTTACAAGCCTCCCCAGAAAGCCCATTCCAGCCACCAGGCACTGCTGCTGCTATGTTTAAAGTTGGGAGGGGGGTATTGTAGTGCCACTTGACTGGGTACATTTTCCATTTGTAGACTGAGCATTTCATGCCAATAGATTTCTATGGTTACTTGCTAGGTAAAAGCACTGCACTACAGGTATTGATACATGGGCTTAAATATTTAAGAAAGAAAATTAACTTGTAGGCAACAAGCAGTCAACTCAAAACAAGACAGAGGTATGATGTAAATGTTTACATACC